TAATCTGTCATTGTTGATATATATATATATATATATATAGTCTACCGACTCTGGGATACACAGTATTTATGCTGTTACCAGAGATTGGGCCTAAAGTACACGTGAAGGAACTTTAAAGATATAATGCACCTAGGTGACAGAATTAAGAACTCGTTAATGAGGTTAAAAATGTTAACCTCTCGGCAAAAATGAAGGTCTGTAGAAATACCAAATTGGACTTGTTTAAACTTAATATCACAAAGCATCACGATAAAACTATATTTACTCTGGTCTTATTTTATCTGGAAATTTAGGGAATGTAAAAAGTACTTTAGTAAAATAGATGTCGCACAAAAATGTAAAAATGAAGAAACGTTGTTTTTAAAAGCACAAAAGATAATAAATATAACTGTCCACTGTTAACAGATGTCCATCTGTCCAACGACACACGAGAACATAAATATGAAAACGGAACCACCACCGCCACACAATCAGTGCTAATAACAACAAATAAAATAAAATGAACTAACACGTTTGTTAATTATTAGAAGCAGGTTTCTAAAACTGGCTCCATCGTTCTATCAGACAACAGTTTTGACTAAACTTAGAAGTTAAAAGATACTCGGGTACTTTCAGGGTTTTATAAACAACTTTTTGTCCATATGGAATTTCAACAGGTCACCACAGATTCAAAAAACATTTTACAAATTCTTCAGCTCACATGATTAAACAAATTTTTTTTATTAAACAAATGGGCTGTTTGTGCTCTGTCCACCATGGGTATCGAAACCAGGTATCCGTAGACTTAGCGCTGAACCATCGGGGGCTTTCTGTTATATAGAAATATATTATTGTTTGTAATATGTTAAGTTATACCTTTGTTTGCAAGACTGAGCTGTCATGACATAAGTTTTAGAAATAACCAGTATTTACATACAGGCGAAATCTTAGCCCTAACTTTCAACAGAGCTACCAATAATTAAGAAAGCGTTTTAAAATTCAGTCAGTAAGAACACCGAAACGGCCAAACAACAAAACATGTATTGTTCTTTACTTTTCACCGACGTACTATCTATTCTTTGACTTTTTTACCCCAGAGTTTACTCAAGTCGAGATTATAAAGATAACTGTGGATTATTCACGCTTGTGATATCTTGACCCGTGGGGTAAGACTTTACTGACCATCTAGTGACCCGTGGAGTAAGACTTCACTGACCATCTAGTGACCCGTGGAGTAAGACTTCACTGACCATCTAGTGACCCGTGGAGTAAGACTTCACTGACCATCTAGTGATCCCGTGGAGTAAGACTTCACTGACCATCTAGTGATCCGTGGAGTAAGACTTTACTGACCATCTAGTGACCCGTGGAGTAAGACTTCACTGACCATCTAGTGACCCGTGGAGTAAGACTTCACTGACCATCTAGTGACCCGTGGAGTAAGACTTCACTGACCATCTAGTTTGTTTCCCTACACATCGTGTTCTCTTTTCTCTTGGGTTTTTATTCCAAAATTCAAAACAAAATCATTTCAAATAGCTTATAAATATACACGTACTTTTGACGAAGTCACGCTCTTCGTGACACGTTTTTTTTTACCACGTGACGGAACCATTTTTTATGTTAAGAAAAGCGCTACGCTATTTATTACATTCATAACTTTACGTATAATATTTACACACCGTTCGTATATTATGTTAAAAAAGCGCGTGACATTTTCGTTTACTAACCCTGTACAGCCGGTATTAAGTGTAAGTCTGTTGTTGGATGTTTTAACCCTGTACAGCCGGTATTAAGTGTAAGTCTGTTGTTGGATGTTTTAACCCTGTACAGCCGGTATTAAGTGTAAGTCTGTTGTTCGATGTTTTAACCCTGTACAGCCGGTATTAAGTGTAAGTCTGTTGTTGGATGTTTTAACCCTGTACAGCCGGTATTATGTGTAAGTCTGTTGTTCGATGTTTTCAATTAGAGTTAGTAGTGAGTACTGTGTAGTAGCTGCATTGTGTTTCAAGTCAAAATTAGAGTCGGTTAGTACCAATCCAATAATCGGCTAGAACCTAGTTAGATGAGGCGTAATGGAGTGAATAGATAAGTAAGAAGCTGAAGGATTATCACACGTGTTGAACGACGAAAACCACGATCTTATAGTACAGTCGTGTCAAAATCAGGTACTCTTTAGGGATAGTCGAAGAAATCGTACATATGAGCTATGCCAGATATGCCTTATCGTCACCATGGTTACCAGGCAGATCGCGATTGATCAGATCTGTTCACGAGCGTAGAATGCGCTCGTTTTTGTGACGCACTCGAGCTTTCCGCCATTCAGATGAAATCAGCTCAGATGAGGCTCCGCCCTATCCCGTGACGTCAAGCTTTCCTGTCACACACTAGGATTGGTAGTAGCGATACTCTAGACCCAGCCGTGATTTTGTTTCTCCGTGTAAATTAAACAAAACGTTACTTTTTTACGGGGTTTACGTTCTGTGACCTATGGATGCTTGACTACACCACGTGATAGTTTGGAATTATGGTAACACCTAGAAAGGGATCACTGTGGGATGCCCGAAAGTTTTCTCTTCCGAGTCGTCCAGGTCAGTAAGACTGTGTTTATTTAGACAATAATCTGGGCCTTCAGTGATAAGATTCTGTGGTTTATATTCTGTCAAATATGAATTTGTTTTCGGTAAACATTATTTAGGTAGCTTCAAAAAAAAAAAAAACTAACCCTGTCAATAGACTCGGATTTCTATTAAGGTTATCCAAAGTCCGGGGTAAATTTTAACTTGTTATTAGAAGGTTAGATAAGATCCAGGTTAAAGTAACCCGAGAACTTTTCAGACTCTGCAATTAGTGCTAGGGAAGTGGAGTGAGTTGTTTCAGTAATAATGTCTGATCTTCCGGTCCAGATTCCAGCTGTAAAAAATTGAAAGTTGATGTTGTTAAACTGTTTGAATCAGGGCCACGTGTTTTTTTTATTCTGATACTCCGTAACTTCGACTACTGTATGGGGTGAAGTGTGATGGTTACTTCTCAGATCGATACAAACCTATCGATGGTGGGTATCGGAATGGAAACCTCCAAGAAACGTGCTCGTTTGTTCATCTATGGCGCTGCATGAAACTTGACGTTTTAATATAAATGTATTACCATGTAAAGTTTTCGTGGTAGGTACTGATGGAAAGTTGACTGAACCAACCTATGACGTTTTAATATAAATGTATTACCATGTAACGTTTTCGTGGTAGGTACTGATGGAAAGTTGACTGAACCAACCTATATTTTCTGCGTCCCTGTCGGCTTTTCTGGAAGGTAGGCTTCTTGTCAGACTTTCCATCTTAGGACTTATGACGCCAAAAACTAGGTTTTGGAACCCGCTGTCGGCAGGTCACAGATAACCCATTGTGTAGCTTTGTGCTAAACAACAAACAAATACACCGTTTAACCTTACTCTGTGTATTTTCTTCTATCTTTAAAATGCTCCAACCTTGTTTTACACACAGTTTGAGTGCACACTACGGACAACGTTGTTTTACACACAGTTTGAGTGCACACTACTGACAACGTTGTTTTACACACAGTTTGAGTGCACACTACTGACAACGTTGTTTTACACACAGTTTGAGTGCACACTACGGACAACGTTGTTTTACACACAGTTTGAGTGCACACTACTAACAACGTTGTTACACAGTTTGAGGGCACACTACTAACAACGTTGTTTTACACACAGTTTGAGTGCACACTACGGACAACGTTGTTTTACACACAGTTTGAGTGCACACTACGAACAAGGTCGTTTTACACACAGTTTGATTGCACCTACTAACAACGTTGTTACACAGTTTGAGGGCACACTACTAACAACGTTGTTTTACACACAGTTTGAGTGCACACTACGGACAACGTTGTTTTACATACAGTTTGAGTGCACACTACGGACAACGTTGTTTTACATACAGTTTGAGTGCACACTACGGACAACGTTGTTTTACATACAGTTTGAGTGCACACTACGGACAACGTTGTTTTACATACGAAACCAGCAGTTTGTGTTGATTTATAAAAAACCAATATCTTTTGGAAACGTTTCACAATAAGTGGATTTTTTGGAAGAGAAAAGTCGCGTGCACGTGCTGTCCGTCAAACCTAAAGTTTTTCGCACTAAATCCCTTAGCCAGAACAAGCTATCGTAAATAGTTTTTATTTTGTGGGTCAGCAGTAATTTTACGAACTTACAACGCTAAAATCCAGGTTCGATTCCCCGTGGTGGACGGAGTACAGACAGAACTTTGCACTAAGAAAACAGTTTTTCCTTTTTAATTAAATATTTGTTTGTTTTTACCGTATTAACCCTGAAAACCAGAGATGTGTTGTTTAACTGTTATAGCACAATTCAACACTAAATCATCACACAGGTGCGTTGTTTAATTGTTATAGCGCAATTCAACACTAAATCATCACACAGGTGTGTTGTTTAATTGATATAGCACAATTCAATGCTAAATCATCACAGAGTTGTGTTGTTTAATTGTTATACCACAATTCAACGCTAAATCATCAGACAGGTGTGTTGTTTAATTGTTATACCACAATTCAACGCTAAATCATCACAGAGGTGTGTTGTTTAATTGTTATACCACAATTCAACGCTAAATCATCACAGAGTGCGTTGTTTAACTGTTATAGCACAGTTTATTGTATAATTATTTGTTACTGATTTTTCTATAAGTTGTTTCCTATCTAAGATATCACAAGAATGAATTTAATAAAAAACTACAATAATGATTAGTAGCTGAGCAACATACTCAATAAATGTATTGTTGTTTTCTGTTACTCTTGTTTCCTATAAGTTGTTTCCTATCTAAGATATCACAAGAATGAATTAAATAAAAAACCTACAATAATGATTAGTAGCTGAGCAACATACTCAATAAATGTATTGTTGTTTTCTGTTACTCTTGTTTCCTATAAGTTGTTTCCTATCTAAGATATCACAAGAATGAATTAAATAAAAAACTACAATAAACTTTTACTTCAACAATTTTAAAGCTGAACAGCATACTCAATAAATGTATTGTTGTTTTCTGTTACTCTTGTTGACAAAGTACAATTGTTTATAATAGATTAAATTGTCCAAGTCACCTACATGCTTTTCACGTAACCTACAGAGACACAACCTAAATTAAAACCGTTAGGTCTTAATCCTGTTAATTTAATGTCCTTATTTAAAATCAGTAAACTTTGATACACCTCAAATGATATTCCCTCTTTGATATAGGCTGGAATGCTTTAATCGTTTCTGTCTTGTCAATTTCAAAAATAATCAGAATCACCTTGAATATTTAAACATTAAATTATCATGTATAAATCAAGTACTAAACAAGTAACATTTAATTTTATGCACAATAATTCATGTAATATTTCATCCATGTTCATTGCAAATGTTTTGATAAACCAACAATTTTATTTTCCGTATAATCAGCCATGCCATCAAAAGTAAATATAAATACATTATATTACAATTAATTTATAATGTTTCATTGAAATGTTCTTCCTCTCGGATAAACCTTCTAGCATTCTTAACCAATAATAATGTCTGTTTAATATTAAATAATAATGTTAAATAAATTTAATATTAATAACGTTTAATATTCCACGCCTTATGACTTAAATTTTTGACAAATGATGATAAATGTTCATTTACTGATACATATTGTGTTCCTGATTACCAAATTCTGCTTCCTTCCTTGTTCATTTCTTCTTTCATTCTTGGTTTTATAAGCTATTGCGTGTGAGGTTTCGATCCTATGTCTAAAGCAGTAACTACCTTCTTAACTATTACCACTGTATGTGAAGTTTGAAATCTTCCCTGTTTACAAAAATTTCACTTTTAAATGTCCAACTTCTTTTTGTAATCACCCGGTTCTTTAAAACCTGTGTTTACTTCATTTAACAATTCATCATATTTAGATTCTAAGTTACACTTTCATTAGTGTTGAAATTATTGTTTAACTTTTTTATCGCACAATTCCAGGCTAAGTTATTACAGAAGTGCATTATTTGACTTTATTCTACAACATTATATTATTGCAGGCGTACAATGTTTACTTTTGTTATTGCACAATTCAAAGCTACATTGTTACAGAAGTGCATTGTTTTGTGTGAAGTTTTATGATCTGTTTTAAGTTTCTGTTTACTTTTGGGGGAAGGGTGTTGTTTATATAAGGGTAATTTACTTAAAATAAACTGTTTTTATTAACAGTTTTCAGTAAATCCAGAACACCTGTTCATTGCCTGTTGTCTTTACAGGGGTTTCTTTGAACACTTTGTTTTTCCCTATTATATAGGTGCCTTTCTGAGACGACATTCAGTTGACCCGGACAGACGAAGAGGATCGTTAGGTCAAAGGTCATTGGATGGTTCTGATCACCATACCGTATTGATTCACAGAACGGATTCTCGGAGTGTAAGTAACAGAAGACTTAATTAATAAAAACTTTTGTCAGACAAAAATAAATGAAACACGATTGAGTTCATATAAGCCTCATTTTCTACACACCCATGGTTCGTTTGTATCTTGAGTGACGCTCATTCCCGATGACTCGGCGGTAAGCTTGAAGACTTAGAACGCTAAAATTCGTGGATCGATCCCTCCAATGAACACTGCATAGCTAGCCCATTGGGCAGCTTTGTGCTTAACCCTGAATAAAATTGTTATTTCGTGAACACCTCTTCAGTGCGGTACCAGAAAAAAAATAGTAATATAATGTACTAAGAATATGTGAGCATGCGCGTTAGTGGTAATAAATATATCCAAATGTTTGACCGGTATTTTTGCCTTTTTATGACATGAATACTAAACTACAAGAGATGAATAACTTTTGTAATTTGTTAGTTATTTTATATAAATATTTTATTTTTTGTGGGAGAAAATATACATTAATATATATACAACACAAACATCTTTAGATACAGACCAGTCAACAGTTAAACCTGTGTATCTGCAGTGCTCTATCTAAAGGTCGTAAAATAGTCTTAACAACAACCAATCAGTTAGTTACGATTTAAACATCACCAGCACGAATTATAACCGTTCACTAGTTTAAAAGTGCTTCTGTTTACAGTTGTTCTAACGGAAGCTAGAAACGTTCACTAGTTTACAGATGTTCTAGCAAAGTTAGAAACGTTCACTAGTTTACAGTTGTTCTAACGGAAGTTAGAAACGTTCACTAGTTTACAGTTGTTCTAACGGAAGTTAGAAACGTTCACTAGTTTACAGTTGTTCTAA